GGAGCATCAAAAGCCAAATGCATCCGAAGCTCAATGTCTGAGAATAGAGAATCTTCGAGCTCATTCCGCCGCGGGGAAGGTCGTGGAGTGAGTTTGGACATGAGCGACATGCGACATCGATTTGACCCATCGCGATGTTCTCAGACCTGATAGCCTCTAGCGGAGACACTTTTATTCCATTCAGTTCCAAGACTGTGATCGATCGGTCGTTCCTTGCCAAATCCCAGAGAATGTCGGCGATAATTTTTACCAGGCGCGAACTGTATGGACATCTTTAATCGAATGTTGCTCACTTGCGATCCGCTATTATCTTGCTTGAGGCTCGATGGTGAAATCGAAGCACCGAGGCCATTCAGTGCTGAGGCATTAGAATTTATTGAGAGCATGTCTGACGAAGAGATTGAATTCTCCGAAGAGTGAGACATCTGGCGAACGCGTCCCTCGAAATATACCTATATGTATATATGTATAAACCCAAAAACCAACGTTCTATTTATAAATCCAATCCGATAATAATATAACAGAGGATTTTCGCGCCAAAATTCGAATTTTCCCTCCTCATTTCATTTCATGAGCGATTGGTCCGATAGCTGGCCGCTTTGGAAAGTGCAGGCCGCGGAGGATAACGAAGTTTCTCACCCGTCCACGGGATCGATGGAAAAGGGTTTAAGCTCTTTTGGAGGAAGCTCAAACACTGAATCCTTTCTGACAGAACCTCCACAAGTCGGGATGGAGGTTTCGGTATCATAAGTCGTCGCGCAATTTTAGGGTCTTGCTGATTGTGTCAGATGGAAGGGTTCTGCCTCGGAAGCCAGAATTGTGAAAGCCAGAGTCGTGAAAGCCCGAATTTGTGAAAGCCAGAATTGTGGAAGCCAGAATTGTGAAAGCCCGAATTTGTGAAAGCCCGAATTTGTGAAAGCCCGAATTGTGGGAGCCCGAATTGTGGGAGCCAGAAGTTTTGAAAGCCCGGATTGTCGAAACCCGAATTGTGGAAGCCAGAATTAGGTAGTGGGAGCCCGGATTCGTGGCGCCGGGAGGAGCAAGAAGAAACTGTCAGATGTACGGAGGCGGGAGGGGACCTCATACCCCTTCTTATTATTCGCTCGGTTTACAGTCTACAGCTTTTCAACAGCTCAAGTCACGTCTCGAATGCCACAGACGGGAGCGATCGCAAGGGAGCCGAAATTAATCAAGGGTATCGGGCTCGCGGGTACGCTCACTCGTGAATCGTAATTCGCCCCCCTTCAGCCCAGGGAATCTCTTCACGGACTTGGTCGAAGCTCAATGGTCAGAATGGTCGACGACGGGGAACACAAAACTCGAGAGCAAGATTTTATTGCTTCTGAAGCACATCTCCGAACTCCGAACGCACAGTTTCCAAACACCACCACAGCTTTGGAACAAAACACGGCCGTGTCGATAAGTCCCACTCGACGTACGTTCGTATATGAATGTCTCCTCTGAGGTCCCAGATAAGCACCACTGCGACAAATGGCACAAGGGCCATTCAAGCTTCACCGATTGGCGGTCTCTACTCCAGAGAAAATTGATCCAGAGAAAATTCGGGTTCCCACAGATACTGGCTCCCAAGAATTCGGGCTTTTATAGATTCGGGCTTTCACAATTCGGGCTCCCACAAATTCGGGCTTCCCCGAATTCGGGCTCCCACAATTCGGGCTTTCACAAATTCGGGCTTTCACGAATTCGGGCTTTCACAACTCTGGCTTTCGCCATTCTGGCTTTCACAATTCTGGCTTCCGCGATTCTGGCTTCTGAGATGGTACCAAAATTTCATCATAGGCCGAAGAAAGAGCGTGATGCAGAGGAAGAGGAAACGTCTGGAATGAAATCATGGCTAGACACCGACAGCGTCTGACGCAGACGGAAATGCGGTTCACCTCTTGGGACATTTGCAGGGAAGTGTTTTGGCGTCGCACAAGCTATCCTCGCGGCTCCCGAAGTAGGCGGTGACTGACGCTTTGTAAACCAGGGCGCTACAAGCTGTGAGCGAGCATCAGACTCATTTTCGGTGATACTCGAGGCCGGCTCCTTCAACGCCATCGCTGAGAGCTTGAATTTATGCGCACTCACTTTTCCGGCATTCTCATCCAGCACACTTCGCCCGGCCCGCGATCCACCCTCTGGCAAGATTGACATATACTCCGTACGGATATGACTGAATTTCGCATCAGCTAATCGAAGGGCTAGATTCTCGTCGCGGCATTCGACGTTCGAACGTTATTTTCCCGAATACTTGAGCGGAATTGTCGCCTCATGGAGGAATGTTTCGTCCTATATTTATCCCTGAGTATCTCCCGGAAGTTAATTTCATTCCCGGTATATCTTGTACTTTTGGACGCAGTTCTCCGCGCAGTTTTTCCCTAGGCTCTCAGGGCAGATGATGACGCTCGACCTGGCAATGACTAATCCGTGACAATACGTGACTTCGCTGTGAAGCTCATGCTGAAGAGCTTCGACCAGTCTAGCCATAGCTATTCCAATAATACGAGAAATTAGTTGCCCGCAGCCTAGTCCCCTGCCTCTTCTCTACGCTCCTGGGTTAGGCGGCTCACGATTCACGATCTTGGGTTGATACCCATGGTGGTCACATGATACAGATGGTCCGCACCCTCGGTCTTACTGCACTTGAAAAAAAATTGAGAATTGGTGAATGAATAGAGTCCACAAAGAGACACAGCTGGAATCGATCTACGAGAGCACCGCGTATACGCGCCCGTCTATTCCGATGAGGTGCGACAAGCAAGGATAATAGAGGCAGATAACCGTTCGTTCCGTCACATATCCATATCATTCGTCCCGTTTCAGTGTATCCTCGCAGGTATTTCGCAACAGATTCCTGGTCGCTCTACTATGTCGGTCCACTCGTTCTTGCCACCCTAATGCCGGCCCGATCAGCGACTTGATATACAACCTCTCGAATGTATCGGATGTGGACGTGTCGAATCATCAAAGCGCTTACGATTCTCCCGGAATATAATGCTTCCAGGATAGTTCGTGCAGTCCAAATATTGGAAATACTTCGCCTATGTACCCCTAATTCCGAGCCTGAGAAGCACCTTCCGGAACCAGATATCTGGCTGCAATCGTACATTGTATCATTATTGTTTCCTCCCTTTTGCGCTGGAGGATACGATTCAACACCTGATGGCGAAATGAGCTTGGGGAATGCCATGGAGCGCGATTTCAGTCTGGATTCGAAACCTGCTTCGATGAACGATAATAAAGCCATGATGAAAGATGGCTGATGACCATGATTCACCTAATTGAATCCTGACCGATGAAAATCAGTCGGTACCCGGCGTTTTCTATGCGCTCCTACAACCACACTCCTTTGGTGATATGCACAGTGAATCGGCTGCGGATAATCGGCTTCCCCGCTCATTCGCATCGAAATGGCCTGGTCGCGATGTTTTCCCTGTGAGCGGAGTTCACTGTGCATCGAGTCACTTCTGGGGAGCGACTATCCTGAAGCTCTTGTCCGCTGATGCCGTTCATTGTGGCCACAACGCGTCGCACGTCAAGGAGGATGATTCTTCGAAATGACGATGGACGAAGGCTTGTTCCTGAAGGGGACTTAGCATTCGAAATTCTTGATTCATTGAGCGCGTCCGCTGAACGAACTCCTTCCATGGAGAACGGCGCAGTAGGGGTGACCGCGGCGTAGGAACGGCAACCTGGGTCTTCGTCTTCGAGATCCGCGTGTTTGCCGAAGCGAGTTAGTGATATTCCGGCGGCCAGAGTCCGCATGTCGCGGACCCGATGGAGATTCTCCATCGTTGCCTCGGATCCCCCCGCGATATTGAGAACTATTCCTCATGCTATGTCAACATACCAGCTGCAATCATCTGGTCCTTGCGGGAGAAATCCGTTTCCACGCGCCGAGAAGTTCCGCTCTCAGACATTGTGAGCATATCCTACGCAGCCCCATGAAGACGCCAAATACTCTACGTCTCCTGACGCGGTGCTCACGCACTCCGTCAAGAAAATCTCAGGCTTCTTTTCTTGTAGCGGCTCTAAGACAGTGGCGTAATTAGGAGGCGGCGAGATGGCGCAGGTGCCCCGGGCCCTGTTTTCGAGACGGCGCTCCTTCAAGCAGCCGACACAGACTCCATGACACAGCCTCGAAGAGGGGCATGCATTATGAGCGGCATCATAGATTGTCGCGCAAAATCTTCGGTCAGCTGGATATAGCTGTAGGGGGAAAGGACACCTGAGCGACACCTGAGGAAAATTATTTTCCGCCGGCAGTCGACCCGTCTGGCCGAAAAAGACACAAAAGCTCTCGACTTGTTCCCACAACAGCTGGAAAACTTCCGGCAGTTTTTACGCACAGTAGAGTTTATCCTTGATTTCACCAGCCGTCGATTGATGGCTGGATTGAGGTCCACGTAACATAGAGCCCTAAGGCGGGAAAAAATATATGAAACACATGTGTGATTCATTATACATGCATACCTGTCGGTCGAAAGAGAGAATCTCGCGCTAATTTTTTTGTTCCACGAAGAAACCGAACGAGACCACGGACGAACGCATTGCAGAGGCCCTCAGTGGGGGAAAATCAAGCAGCCGTCGTTAAGGTAGTTTCCTTTATCCGTGAACTGGGACGGCTCGATTTATTTTGACTAGATGAGAAAAAATATACGACAATCTTTCTATACCTAGAATTCAAACGGATGCTACAGGAACCTGCGAGCTCCGCGAGAATGATAGCGAGGAAAAAAGCCTCTCCGAACTCGAAATATCGTTGTGATGCTCCAGGAATTGCTCCGGGTAAAATTGAGAGCTCCCTGGTAACCCAGGTGAAGTCAACGATCGGACAAGCCGGACACTAAAGTTGGATGCTTCGGACAGCAACACGCATGCGGACCCATCGGTCCGATCGTCCAGACAGCTCAGTGTCGCGCTATACGGGATTACGTAGCACTTGCTAAGACGGCTAATACAGGAGGCGACCTTGGACGAATTTTCCACGCTCTCGGTCACGAGTTCGAATTGAGTTTTTTGTCGTCGTCAACCACCTGTCGGATAATAGCAGTCAAGCCACCCTTCAGCGCTACATGCTCGATGGCGGGAGCTCCTGGGCGGCGGACGAATCTGATGGGGATTTTAGGCAGACTCGGAAACACAGCCCCGTCATAGCCTGGGACTTTGGCATTCGGGTTCTCCGGTATAAGTTCAAAATGTCGCACAATCTCGGCGACGTATACAGCGATGCTTATCAATGCTATATCCTGGCCCGGACAACTCCGTTTACCTCTCGCAAACGGAGCCTGTACTTGGTCTTTGAGTTTCATATTTCCGTCTAAGAACCGGAACGGGTTGAAGACCTCGGGATCAGGATACGTCTTCGGATCTACTACCTCCGACTGCATTAAAACAAGGAGCGGCATGTGCGCTGGGATATCAATATCGCCGAGTTGACAGCGGCTACGGGTGTATCTCTCCACGAGAGGAATGGGCGGCGATATGCGTACGGCCTCGTTGACGACTGCTCGGAGAAAGTGCATGTCATCCAGGTGGTCCGAAGTCAGTTTCGAAGAACCGACGACTTCATGATATTCTCGAAGAATTTTCTCTTGGAACCGAGGATGCAGCGCGAGGTGACATAGAGCTGATGCCGTGCTGTGCAATGTGGTCATCGTTGACGCGACGACAAGGAAGATAGCGTTTTCCCGCAGATTTTGGTGTGCGACCTCTGGGCTCCGGACCCGGAGCAGAGCCTCGACGTAGTCATGGGCTTCCCCGCCGACGGCGGCCATCTTTTCAAATTGCAGCCGCCATAAGAGCTCCTTGTATACCCGGCTGAAAACCGACGGTCTCTTCGAGTACGGGAGCCACCTCTCGAGAGTGAAGAGACTCTTCAGAGGAATGACGACACTGACGCAGAAGAGGCCGAATGCGACCGTCATCACTGCTTTCAGGTCGCGGATGAAACCACTTATGTCGTCGGAATCGAAAGTTGCCCCGAGATTGAGGTTGGCAGATTCCTGGAATTTCGAGAAGGTCAGGTCGTCCTCGAAGTCCCAAGACTCACCGTTCCGCTCTTCGATTTTCTCGAGGAATGTTTTCGCGACTTCGGCGATCTTGTCAAACTTTCTTCTCTTCGGTAAAACGTGTAGGGCCATGACATTCACTTTCCTGGAGGACCTCCAATCCGCGTTGGGGAAGGGACCATCGAACAGTGACCAGCCCTGTCTACCAGTGCAGAGCTCGCCCAAGGTTTCGAAAAGCGCATTCGATATTCTATGAATACATGAATCGTTCTTCTGCAATTCTTTCACGTAACGTCTCTTGACGATCGTTACCGGGTAGAAATGGCGTGTGATGACCACATCTGGCGCGGTCTTGAGATACCAATCATATATTGGCATGTAGAGACGCTTCGGTAGAAGCAGTACGGGGAGGATCCCGACGAAAGGAAAACCACACCACACGGCTGGACCTTTCTCTCTCACGAACTTGCATCTGAAGTAGATATGGTCCAGAACAGCCAATATGAAGAAGAGCACAAGGTACTGCATGCTACTCTTCCCGAGAGCGTGACAAGAGATATACGACTAAATTGGAGAATTTTCCCAAGAGTCTCCGCGTATCTGATGGGAGAGCGGCATACACACCTGCGCTTTCGAACCGCCGCCGCCACCGCCGCCGCTGTTCTCCCTAAGCAGGCGTGTACCGCGACTCATTTGGTTCTCCATGAGACAGACGATCAAGGTCGCTTTTTCGAGAGAAAAGCAATCTTTGGAAGGGGTTAGAACACACTATATCTGCCGGATTGTCAGTTGAGTAATCTTGGGGACATGAGTTCCGAGGCAGATGTTGAGGCGTAGCGCAGCGCGTGCGGTGAGCGATCCAGCCCACAAAGATTTGCGTCTTCCGGCATCGAGTCGGTGCTGAATAGCAGAAGTTCGCACGATCACACAAAACACGAAGGGCTCTATGAGCTCTCATCGAGGTCACTCAACCAGCTCATGCCCGCACTTGACTGAAACTATTATCTGAGCTCCTTGTCACCAACAATCCCACCAGTGAATCCGAAAACACAAGGCGGAAAAACCGCTTCATGTCTCACGACGAATCCATCAAATTGAACCTTGCGTCTCGATCCGTCTGATAATTTTCTGGTCAGACTGATTCTTGGCATTTCGTCCAGCCATCAGCACTCGAAAGGTGGGCAAGCGGAGTCTTTGACGGATGTCTCTCGAGACGGGCGCGTTCCATAGATTTACTCCACCTGCTTATACAATTGTTCTTAGGTCAGTGAAACTCGGGTGAACTGGGGCTGATCGGGAGGACGAGCGTATTGAGTAGCGACAGCGAGAGATCACCTCTAGAATCAATTCGAAATACCATCCATCTGTCCCCTACATCGCGAAAAAGGAATCCTCCTATGGATATTGGAGAATGCATCCAATTTTTCCATAAAATTTGCATAATGAGACATTCGTGCTCCGCTCATTCAACCCATGTGGTTTTCTGCGCATCGACGGTATAGCCGCTCACACAATCAGCTCTTCCATCCGACTGTACACGAGGAGACTTCGGGGCGGAGTCCAGCTCAGCGTTCGCAGATTATATCAGATGAATTTCAGGAGCACCTTAGAATATATCGAAAGACCTGCCTGCACGGGAGAGACGAGCCAACTTTTGTCCGGCCCTATAAGGTGTAAATCCAGAGAGGTCTCCGAATAATTCGGATTTCATTCGAAATGCCCGTCTGTAGAATTGGAGGTTGGTCGAGCCGAACCTACCTTATTTTTCTAGAAGGGGGCACGCTTGATAATTTTTCAGAGCCCCTGATGGGCGCCTGTAAGTTCAACCTCGCTCTGACATTGATCTTGTATTCTGATCATCCTGCAAATGCGTAGCGACGGGTGAACGCATCTGATCGACCTCCACCGAAAGCTTCGCTCCGGAGAAAATGAACATCGTACAGTGAAACTCCGTCAGAGCAAGCCTTGGGGGGCCGGCGAAACTCTTCCATTGACATGAATATCCGCCGTGACGGAAACCCTCTCATAACGAGCCCCGCGGTCTTTTTGATGGAGAAATTCTCTAACGAACAATGTGTGTCGGTACTTCCTGGAGTATGACACATTGACATCGGAGTTCGGAAGAGAATTTATTCACCTGCGCCTCATGTATCTCGGAGGGTGCTGCTTTACGTAGATTTTAGCGCTATGCGTGAACTTCAAGCGCAGACTGCCCTGAAAGGCTGTCAGGTGCCGCTTTAGTCGAGCTGGGTTCGATGAGAGCTGATATGCAGGGGCCTCGATTAGCTGGGATATTGCCGAAGGAGAATGCGGAGACGTATGGATGCGGACCGACGCAGCACTGGCGAGAAGTCAGCGCGGAGTCGATGCTCGCGCAGTGCGGGAGGAGCGAACGGGAACGAGACTCCATCTCTGGTCCGGTATCATGCTCATGGTTTCGTGTGTAGCTCAGTTGGAAACAAGCCTCAACAGTGAGCGTGCTGGATGAGTCTCATTCTTCAGGGTGTAATCACAGTCACCGATCGTCCTGGTGATCGATCCGCGACTTTCGTTCCGCAGACAAAGTCTCGGCTCATCGAGCGTCAGATTCGGATCCAAGGCCAGAACTTTCGGTGCGGCTCGCTTCCGACGCTGGATCTTGAGTCATGAGGCAGAAGATGTCGTCGCAACCGCGACCGTGGGGATCCGCGTCCCGGCTAGGTTTCGGAACGGAGCATCAGTTCCCGTCTCGATATATGTGGGTACTTATTCCTTCGTGCGAGTAGTGAATCTCGCCGCTCTACCGTTTCCGTACGTGCGAAGTCCAGAAACTCCGGATTTTGTGGTTGTCGCTGGGTGCTACGTGGACGAGCCTTGGTTGCGGCAGCCTCTCAGGGAGTAGGGAAAGAGGAACTCTCTAGGACTCTAGGAGCATTCTCATGTCAGACGCCTGTCATGTCAGACGTCCGAAGACAGCGTCTGCAATCGTTATTCGGGGGATTCTCGTGATCGCTCGCCAACCGATCTACACATGGCTTGAAGAATGATCGAAACTCACCGGGAGTCATCCTGTGGTCGGAGTTGTGTGAAAAGAAGTTATGAGGTTGCTCCTCATACTCGCCTTGACTCCCATGCTCTCTCACACGAATGCCAATGAGCCGGATTCCCCGATAGCTTAAGCAGCGACCAAATTAGCTGTCAGTTTGAAGCAGCCAAGGATATGGCACAAGCTCACTAGATCGTGATGTTCACTATGTCGTCGAGTCGCTCTGTACAGCTTTAGTGTGTGTTTTTGTCCCAACTGTGGAGCGACTAGATATCAAATCTGATCCACCGCACTCCGAAGCCGCATCGATGACGCGACTGGGTGCGCTCTTCATCCTCGGAGCCGCGGTAGCCAGCGTTAAGCTAGGAGCAATAATTATTGTTTTTATCAGCATCACATACATTTTTCTCGAAGTTCACCGTGTACGTACGTTCGTGGATCAGCTCACAGTCATTTCCACGATAATAATAATCGACGTTTGGGCCAAATCATGCCTCTTGGAGAGCCCCCATTCAAGCGTGAAGCAAATGCTTCGAGTCTGCATTGAGAAGCAGTCTGCCATTTCAGTCATCCACGTCAGGTGTTCGAGAAACGCAGTGTCCCGAGGACATACTCCTCGCAAACTGTGAAGCAAGGCTGAGCCATTCCCAACCCTGTCCGTCTAATCAAGAGGTTCTGAAAAATTGTTTTTATCGATCGTCGGTACATTATTTGTTCTAATTCTCTACGCGAAATCTGATTAAAAGAGATTATGAGCTTAAGATGCGAAATTTCTCCATCATCACACATGATAAATTCATCACGTCCGAGATCTGATTGTACAAGGTAAGCGACAGCAGTATTGAGGATGAATGAGTCTTGCCGTCACTATTTCATTCCGACAGGATGCTGATACCAGAGTTGTGTGATGAATCTTTTCCTGGGACTCATGTAAGGCCGAAAACAGTGAAGTTTCGTTCCACCATGGCGCTTAGCGTTCAGGACTCTGCTTGAAGTGATCACGAACATGTAAACACATTGGAGGAATGGACTGCCGTTAACAACCGCTCGACATCCAAGTTGATGCTATTCTTCCTGCACCGCCCCTTTAGCCCGCTCCCTGTCTCGTCCATTCGCGCCATACTCTCCGCGGCGTGGCGAGTGGCGAACATATCATATATGCATACCCTTACGACAGAACCGCCATCATTGCGAGAACACCTGTAACTAGAAGACGATTGGAGTGCTGGCTATGAAACATCACCATACGGCTTCTCGAGTATAACAATTCGATCTAATCACAGCCGACGTTCCCGGCGGTTCCAGAGTCAGTGACCGTGGTGAACACGCTTCTAAGAACTCGAGCGCCATGACTCGGAGCGCTGAAATTCTCAAGAACTCCCTTCTTCCATTTTCGCTCAGGCAGAAGCTCCAAGTGCATCCCGGAAGCGCTCTCGAGGGAGGGAGAATGGAGCAATCCCGAGAGAATCAACCCAGGACTGAAGCTCCCCAGAAGAGGCTCCACAAAAGTTGGCTCGTCTCTACCGAATTAGGGCCGACGCGGAATGACTTCGGCCAATATGACGCTCTCTATCATGAGCATGGCTATGTGTTGGCCTGAGGCCCGGGAATCAGAGAGCGAGAAGGCTCGAAAGCCATGACGGAGCCAGCAGACAGGCAAGGCGAGTCTTCTTGAAAAGGCTGCCGCCGAGTCGAAGAGATCTCCCCTGATGAGCTTCAGCCCGGTCTGATCCACTATGATCTGATCATATCAAAAGCATAGCATTAGACAGACGTATATGTTCCCTACTAGTCCTAGTTACCCGTGCTTCGCCACGGAATTTGATGGGTAGAATGATGAGCATCGAAGTTCTAGTGGTACCATAAGGCTGGAATACATAGTCTGGGATTATTCTTATATAGAGGTCAATGGTCACGCTCAATGGAGAAGGAAGGTAGTTGTTGGGATGTTTTCGTATTCAGTTGAAGAAGAGGGAATAAATGTGAGAAGGGATGGATAATGAAAAGAGTTCCCAAACGGACATTTCATGTCTATCAAATCTGCAACAGCGAGGGCCGACGCGACGACGGCATAATGAATAATGGGAGATTGAATGAGGGAGAGAGGAGCAGTCTGGCTTCTCGGGAAAAGTTCAGTATTTTACCCTTGGCTGAGTCGAGCTCCCCGTTCTTACATGAGCTCGACGCGTCGATGCTTCTTTGTACGCCAGCCTTCCCAGATGCGTAGGATGGTTGTCTGTCGGGCCTGGTATGGATGGGTGCGGGAATGATCTCCGCAATTCATAGTGAACTTCGTAATTCGTCGTCAGATCGCAGAATTTCTAATTCTAGTTTAGTGAGTCCATCCTGCGGAGAGACCTCGGAAGGTCCGTCGTTGGTATGTTCGGCGCGATCCACGGAGTTACGTTCCATCTTGAGTGCACAGTTGCGTAGTGACTTGATCCTGCGTCGAGATTGCCTGCAGAGATTGCTCCTTCGTCTGGTTCGACTTTATCCGCATTCG